TCCACTTATTTCTTCAGATTATCTCCTGTCTCACGCAACTAAAAATCAGTTCTGTGATGTCCCATAAGATGATTCAAGGAAGTATCTGTTGTAAACTTGAGTTCAGTAGCATTGGCCCTTCAATATTCACAGCCTAATTGTCACAAGGGACATTGCAGCATAGATAGAAAGTGAAGGATTTATTCTACAGTATGTCCCCTCTTGGTCTTTCACTGTTTGCTCTTTGTTTATGAGATTTCTATCTCAGGATTATTTCTTTCTGCCTGTTTTCCCAGGCCTGCATTCACTGAGCACTTGTTCCCTGACTTTGCTCTGGTGAGATAGGTGGTAGGCTTTGCATATCCTACCACATATTTCCTTAAATAAATCTTCTTTCTCTGAAAGTTATAAGCCTGCTTCACTAATCTTTGCTCAAATTATTTTCCCACTCTCAGGAATGCTCATGTACATGCACAAATACAGGCTACAGCTATAGCCTAGGTGTTAGGAATTTTAGGAAGCTGAAGGCTTGCTTGGTTTTGTGTGAAAGATGGGAGTACACTCCAGTGGAAACCTGATGTGCACTAAGAGATCTGAAACCAAGCTTCTCCTGGGTTTTTTTGTTCTAAAAATAAGGGTCACTTTGGAGTGGTGATGTCTGTTATAGAGTTATTAGCTGCCTTTCCCCTTTCCGCTGCTCCAGCAGAGCAGGAAGTAAAAGGACCAGCTGTGCTTGTGTCTTGAAAAACAAGAGACAGAAAAAGACTACTCTATACACAGCCTGAATATCTGGTATTAAACGGAATGATGCTTCTACACGGGTATATGTCAAGCAATTGCCCAGACTCATTTTAAAGGGGCTCTGAGGACACTGCCTTCTCACTGTCCTGAATTTCTTCTTCTCTCTGTCTTGCCACAATACCTGCATTTACAGGAGGAACAATGGAATAACTGCATTCATTCTTTTTTACTTATTTTTACTATTTACTATCCTATTTTTCTGCCTAAATGGCATTCAAGGGAGCAGAATTTTAAAAAAAAAAACACACACAATACTTAAAACATGATAAAAGCAGTTAAATCATGTTCAATATTTCAAATTGAAAAGGTCTCATGAAGAGAAAAGGCTGACTCTTCCAAAAGGATGAAAGAGTGGAGGCAACTTCCAAGGGATGCATTCCAGAGCTTGGGGGTCTCACACAATGTCCTCTCCTATGTGCATGACAAACAGACATGAGAAAGTGAGGGCATCTTTAAGGTAGAATCTCCTGCTGGCCTTAACAGGTTCCTATTACAATCAGTAGTCTCTTAGAATAAGGATTTAGAATTGACAGTACCGGGAGTCATGCATCAAAAAGTATTTTTGGCTAGGGATGCTGAGATGCAAAACATATTCCCTTGCATGAAATAACTATTTTCAAGTGACTTGCACATCTCTTGTTTAATGTGTTTTGTTAACCAACCCTAAGAGTGACTTTTGTTTGGGAAAATAAAGGGTGGGGGAACTTTAATCAGTTTTACCTTTTTAATCTGTTTTAGGCTCCAATTACTACTATTCATTAAAAAGAACTCTAGATTGACCATTTGAATAGTTTCTAGACAATAAGTCTTGCTGCTTATTAAAGACTAATAAATTCCTCATCATATAAGCTTGGTGGATCACAGTCCACTTCATCAGGGAAGTCAAGACTCATGGTAGCTGTATTCAGGTATACTTAACTTTTACATATACCAACCCACCTCTCATTGCACTCCAAGATACAGAAATGAATATACCTGATGAGGAATAGCACTTTGCTACAAATTGTGAGTTGAAGCTTGATATTTCCTGTTCTTGCGCACAAACGAGAGAGGAAGAACATGATGGTAACGTTTGACACAAAACCTAAGTCTCATAATGTCTGGTTTAAATGAGACTGCTCTTGAAGAGCATTCAGAAATTGTAGTTTGCCCAGAATGTAGTGCCTTGGTTAGTAATGGGTACACATTGAGGCACCCACATAATATCTTTAAAAAGATATTATCTGGATCCCTTTCAGTCGGGATTCAGGCCTGGGTATGGGATGGAAACAGCATTGGTCATGCTTTTGGATGATCTCTGGCGAGGGCAGCATGACAGTTGTGCATCCATCCTTGCCCTACTTGACCTCTCTGTGGCTTTCAATACCATCAACCATGGAATCCTTTTGGATTGGCTCAGAGGATTGGGAGTGGGCAGCACTGTGTTGTGCTGGTTCACCTCCTTCCTCTGGGGCCGATTCCAGTTGTAATGAATTTAAGCCTTCTATATATAATCATATAGCCATTTTTTTTGGATCTGCACTCAGTCGTTACCGACTCTGCAGTGACTGCTTGGACGAGTCCTTGCAGTTTTCAAGGC